TATGTGAGCTATTTTGGGAGTTGCTGTTTATCTGATAATATTTAAAATTTAGATACTATATTCATTTCTGTCATCAAATCCATGTGAGCAAGACTTTACATATTTAATAGTGTTATTCCTGTACAAATAGAAAAAAATTATTTAATGTTTTTAGACCAATGTGGTGATTTTGTACAGTACCAACTTTCTATATACATATACATAAATATACATAGCATACTTATGTATACTAATTTAAGTATACTTACATAAGTGTGAGTCTACCCACAGACACACATACTTACTAAGCTAGTAATAGTAGTATGTTATGCATCGTTAGAAGCAACAGCTCTTCTAGGTTCTGTAGTCAGCTGAAAAAGATTATACAGACATTAGCATACTTTTTTTTTTTTAAGTAGTTGAGTGTGGTAGCTTAAGCCTATAATCCTCACTACTTAGGAGGTAGAGATCAGGGAATCACAGACCTGGGTGGCGTAGGCATAAAAGTCTGTGAAATTCCATCTTAACTGATAGGCAGGTAAATTGGTGTATGTCTGTCATTCCAGAGACTAAGGGAAACACAAATTGGAGGATCAGAGTCCAGTGCATAAAGGAAGACCCTATCTCAAAAATAACACAAAAGGGGCTGGCTGTTGGAACACCTGCTTAACAAGCATGAGGCCTGAGTTCAAATCTTACTACCTTCAGAAAACAGCAAAGTTCTAAACCCTTTTTTTTTTTTTAAGCATCTCAATCATCTAGAAGGAAAATGTTCTAGAGTAACATCATTAAAAACAGCTCCAGGTCAGTTGCTGGTGGCTTTTGCCTGTAAGCCTAGCTACTCAGGAGATTGAGACCTGAGAATTACTGTTCAGAGCCAGTCTGGGCAGGAAAGTCCTTGAAACAATTATCCAAAAGCCAGAAGTGGAGCTATTGCTCAAGTGTTAGTGACTAGTCTTGACCAGAAAAGCTCAGGGACAGCACCAAGGTCTTGAATTCAAGCCTCAGGAAAAGTACACACATGTACATGTGTGTGTGTGGGTGTATGTGTACATACTTACTTTGCCAGTACCAGGGCTTGAACCTATGGCCTCTCATGCAGCAACTCAGCTTGCTCGTGGCTGGTGCTCTGCCTCTCACCTTTTTGCTGGTTAATTGGATATACAATCTTAAGGACTTTTCTGTCCAGATTTACTTCAAACAAGATCCTCCAGGTTTCAGCGTCTTGAGTACTAGGACTATAGATGTGAATTACTAGGACCCAGCTAAATCCTGTAAACTAAGTTAGTTCCTATGTTGTTTATTAAACATCCTAGGGAAATGAATAAATTATTCTGAATAGTCCCTCTTTGCTTTTCATCTTCTGAAGAAATACACTGAATGAAGTTCCAAATTAATATAATTAATTATTTTAATAAATGTGCTGGGGATATAGCTTAGTGGTGGGATAGTTGCCTAGTATGCCTAAGGCCCTTGGTTTGATGCCCAGCACTGCAAGAGTTTGTAGCTTAGGTTAGCCTCAAACTGATGATCCTTCCAAGGGTGAGATTATAGGCATGTAAACCTATACCCAACTGTGTACAGGGCTTTTAAACACACAGGTAAGTATACTTCCTTAATGAGTTTTAAGAGTTATATAATAAAAGCTATAAATAAAATAATAAAAGCTCTTGGACCTGACATGCTTTTTTCCTTTTTTTGGTCAGTTGTGGGGCTTGAACTCTTGGCCTGGGTGCTGTCCCTCAGCTCTTCAGATCAAGGCTAGTGCTCTACCACTTGAGCCACAGCACCATTTCTGGTTTTCTGAATGGTCTATTGGAGATTAGAGTGTCATGGCCTTTCCTACCCAGGCTGGCTTTGAACCTTGATCCTCAGATCTCAGCCTCCTTAGTAGCTAGGATTACAGGTGTGAGCCACTGGTGCCCGGCTTTTAGTTCTTTCCTGTTTAATTCCGGCTTTTTTCTTACCAGTTCATTAATGGTCATGTTTTTCATATAAGAGAAGTCATATACTAATGAGTCTGCAGCAAACACTGGAAATATACTAGAAAAATTACTAGAGTCAACACCCATCTCCCCAATAGTGTGGGTAGGGTAGATTCTCAGAATGCCCCCTGCTCTCCACTTACCAGTGCTGGCTCTGTTTTGTGCAGTGTGGCTTCCTGTTGTGGTGCATGGCCCCGAGCCCTTCTAATGGGGCAGAACTGCTCTACAGGCGCATCATTCGTCCTTTCTTCCTGAAGCACCAGTCCCAGGTAGACAGTGTGGTGCAGGACCTGAAAGACAAAGCCAAAGAGACTGCAGATGCCATTACTAAAGAAGGTAAGACTCAGGGACAACTTGGTTCATTATGTGATATGCTAGGCTTAAATACCAGGCTTCTTATACTCCTTGTCCTCTCAGCTTTCATTCAGTGAAATGCCAAGGCCCTTAGTGGGATTTTTTTTTTTTTTTTTGATCATGGGGCTTGAACTTAGGGCCTGATGCTGTCCCTGGGCTCTTTTGCTCAAGGCTAACACCTTACCACTTTAAGCCACAGCTCGACATCCAGTTTTTGAGTGGTTAATTGGAGATGTCTCATGGGGACTTTTCTGCCTAGGCTGGCTTGGAATCATGAATGATCCTCAGATCTCAGCTTCCTGAGTAGCTAAGTTTATAGGTGTGAGCCACCGGTGCCCAGTTGGGATTTCTTTATGAAGAGTTTACCTTTTGTCCTTTTCCCAAGCTTGTTCCCCCATGAGGCACACATTTAGTGCAGCACTCACTTAGCATATTAGGAAAATTACTTCCTTACTGTAGGCAGATATTTTAGGCAGAGATTAATTTATAATTATGTATAAATATAATCTTTGATTCAGATCAGGCTGAGCTGTTTAGTGTGCTGTTCAAATTGATTTTGTTATAGATACAGAAAGAATGACCTTTCCCAGCTCCCCTGATTGGTTAATCCCAAATGTTTATTGAGGTGTTTCAAATGTGCCAACCATATTCATATATCGCTGCCAATGAATCAGCAAACCAAAGAGCCCATATTTCTTTCTTTCTTTTTTTTTTTTTTGCTTTTTGCTTTTTGGTCGATCATGGGGCTTGAACTCTGGGCCTAGGCACTACCCCTCAGCTCTTCAGCTCAAGGCTAGCGCTCTAGTGCTTGAGCCACAACGCCATTTCTGGTTTTCTGGCGGTTTATTGGAGATAAGTCTCACAGACTTTCCTGACTGAACTGGCTTTGAACTGTGATCCTCAGATCTCTGCCTCCCTAGTTGCTAGGCTTATAGGCGTGAGCCACTGACGCCCAGCCCCATATTTCTTAAAGCTAAAAATTCAATTGAAAAAGCCAATAAAATTAAAAAATTACTTGATATACTTAGTACATGATGTGGAAAAAAATAAAGCAGGTACAAAATGACAAGGGCTGGAGGGATAGAGGGATGATTACAGTTTAAATAGGAAAATTAGGAAATCCTCACTTAAAAAGACTATACTAAGTCAGATTCAAAAACAGTAAAGGAAGGAACTTTGGAAAAGACTATTCCAGAAGGAGCTACATGCACAAAACCTTGAGGTAACAGTAAAAGTGATGAGAGGTAGAAGACAAAGTCAGAGAGTTTGGAGACAGAGGCTAGATGATGTCACACAATGTTTTACGAGCCACCGGAAAGGCTTTGGCTTTTACT